ACTTCTTCGACAGTGGACCGCTCACACCAAGGAGTTGCACGACAATCCCAGATTTTCCTTCCAGAATATCAAGCACCTCCTTCAATGGTATGTGGACAACAGATTTATTTTGTTTGACCACTGTTTTCGCTCCGCACTGCCCATGCAAGTGCTTTCCGATTGTTTCTTTTATCAAACGCCGGTGGAGTTGGAAACCGTCTAAGATGGTACACTCCTTGGGTTCACCATCGATGTGGTGCAACGAACCGTAAGGTACCAAGTACCTCCATTAGCCTCCATTATGGAAAATTCGCGACCTCCATTCTGCTGGCAGCATGCGTCTCCGCTTGTCCGGACTAAAGTCCCGTGCAACCTTAATTCGCAGATACACGTTTCTCAAACAATTTGTCCGTGACGATCTCAACCAACTCATTCAGCTGTATGTACAGAAAGGGTTCTCCAAAACAGACTGCCAACGCGTCTTGTACAGAAGGCAGTTCAAGCATACCTAAACTTTTGGCTTTGGAAAGTAGCTACTGATATGCTGATGAGGTTGCAAATGTTCCACTGCGGATTTTTACAAATCACTTGTTGATGTCTTGCATCTACGCAATTAAAGGAACACAAGCCCGGCTACGTGCCTTTTTGTGTGTGTCAAGCTCTGTACCAAAGAGTTCTTCACCTTTTGTGGCTGACTTCAACTAACTTGTTTTTGGCCGCTTTCTTCCATACATTATTGATACCGTTGCGCCTTTAATTCATAGCAGGGGGCCGGTTGGAGCAGATGATGACAAACAAGAAAGACGTACAACATCAAATTGCTCCAGATCTAGAACAAGACGTCGTCATCGAACATCCCATCATCGTCACCATCATCGTGATCATTATTCTCCAAGGTCCACTCCGAGATCTGAAAGAGGTAGGTCAGTTGGAACAGCTCGTTCTGTTTCTCAAGTTCACGGTCCACCACCAGGTCAATGGGACATTCATACTGGTCTTTGGGACCCATATGTTGGAAACATTACCCGGCATGGACCGGATGAAGCAGCACTTCGAGCGCTCAGTGAGGCCAGATTTGTTGGAATTATTTGTGCAAAATCTGTTGCTGAATCTGTGTTTGGCTCCCAAATTTTGAAGACACTCCGCGATCAAGGGATCGATATCGATGCTACGGCTGAAAGCCTTCATCGCCAGTTGGCCCCTCAGCAGGGCATTCCCAATCGCACGGACAAACCGATTGAGATTATGGCACCTTTAGTTCAATTCATAGCCGATAAACTCAAGGCTCAGTGTCCGGTAAAACAGGATACCGCAGCCATGCGAAAGCTCCAGGAGACCGAAGCGAAGCTTCAAGCTGCCAAGACCAAGCTTGCGCAAGCAGGCATTCTGGATACACCCCAGAGATCGCGGCGTACAACCGGCACTTTTTGCCCCTGATCCCAAATTGCCAACGGATGATGATGATGGTCCTGGTTCTGCCGGTTCTGTTGTTTCTGATTCTCCTGCTGTTGTTTCTACCTCTCTCTGAAAGAGATCCACCGAGGCATTGGGAGCTTCTCCGAAAGCGCTGCCAAAGCAAAGGAAGCTGGCACCTATGTTCAATAAGGCAGCCGCGTCACCAAAAGACGTGACCTCTGCCACACAATCTCCGACACAACTGACAATTCAGGAGATTTTGGAGCCAAAGGCACCAAATCTCAGAGAGAATCAGCTTTCCGGAACCACCGCAGGAAGTGGACCCAGGATTTCAACCTGGAAGCCCAGCAGATGTCCAAGAAAATCATGGATATCATCAAGGCTGCTAAATGCACCAAGGAACAGTTGCAACAGGCCAGCACTCAATACGGCCGTAATTTACGTGACGTTCTCAAGCTCAGCATCACGAGTCTCCAACAGGCAGTTGCAGTTGGAGCAGCTGTCACAGCTTGACTAGCTATGGATGTTTCCAAACATCGGCCGAAAGCCGTTCTGGATTACATCACAGTTTTGAGATCCGTATTTATCAAGATCGTGCACTTTGTTACCGCTGTCAACAAGTCTTGTGCAATTTGGGCCCTTGGTTTGCTTCATCTCATTTGTCTTTTCCATTTTGCATCACGCACGTATCATACCCAGGTTTGGCAGCGAAGACTGCAGAACCTTGGTATTAATCCAGAGAGTTACACTTTTGTATTCTTTCAATGTACAGCTGGTAGATTTTATATCGGCCCCACATCCGTTGGAATGGCCAAGCGGGAATTCAATAGAATAGCCAAGTACAGACTGGCCAAAGATCGTACTCCTGTTCATGTTGAACTTGCTGTTAAGTACTGGTGTTGTACCGACTTTGTAATCATTTGGAACAGCCAGCGCGTGGTCGAGCCAGAAAACTTCTTGCATCAGCCATGATGTTCAGAAATATGACGATCCCAAAACTGAATCGTCCAGCGACCATGCCATTTTTGGCACACTCCGATTTTTTAGCACAAGTTTCAAGATTTTTACGCAATCATGTCTTGAAGTACAAGGAAATTGCAATTCCGTTGCATCTTCCAACCTCAAAACTGAGGGAAGCTGCAGCACAGACACTTTCAGGTTTTCTACATAATTACAAGAAGTATGAGCACAAGCACCCTGTACAGGATCCGACCCGGTTGACATGTTCGTGCTCTCAATTGATTGCCAAAATTTCAGAAGATTTGGCATGAACAATTGCAGTACTGGACTAAATTTCACGGTTGTCCTCCGTTCTCCCATGAAGATCTCCAAGCCGAACTTCTTCGACAGTGGACCGCTCACACCAAGGAGTTGCACGACAATCCCAGATTTTCCTTCCAGAACATCAAGCACCTCCTTCTATGGTATGTGGACAACAGATTTATTTTGTTTGACCACCGTTTTCGCTCCGCACTGCCCATGCAAGTGCTTTCCGATTGTTTCTTTTATCAAACGCTGGTGGAGTTGGAAACCGTCCAAGATGGTACACTCCTTGGGTTCACCATCGATGGTTCACCATCGATGTGGTGCAACGAACCGTAAGGTACCAAGTACCTCCATTAGCCTCCATTATGGAAAATTCGCGATCTCCATTCTGCTGGCAGCATGCGTCTCCGCTTGTCCGGACTAAAGTCCCGTGCAACCTTAATTCGCAGATACACGTTTCTCAAACAATTTGTCCGTGACGATCTCAACCAACTCATTCAGCTGTATGTACAGAAAGGGTTCTCCAAAACAGACTGCCAACGCGTCTTGTACAGAAGGCAGTTCAAGCATACCTAAACTTTTGGCTTTGGAAAGTAGCTACTGGTATGCTGATGAGGTTGCAAATGTTCCACTGCGGATTTTTACAAATCACTTGTTGATGTCTTGCATCTACGCAATTAAAGGAACACAAGCCCGGCTACGTGCCTTTTTGTGTGTGTCAAGCTCTGTACCAAAGAGTTCTTCACCTTTTGTGGCTGACTTCAACTAACTTGTTTTTGGCCGCTTCAGACCAGAAATTATTGATACCGTTGCGCCTTTAATTCATAGCAGGGGGCACAAGGACCTTTGGTGAGTCTTGTGCCAATGAAGACACTCACCTCAGGTTGTGAAAACGTACCTGCATGATGCACCTGGATGACATACCCAATGTGTTGGGGTCATAGCTGGTGGTCATATCCGTATCCGTTAGTACTCCATGGGATCAGGCTAACCCAAGAACCTGCATGCCGTCATTCATTCATTTCATGACCATGTCGGATTGAGAAATCCCGCTTTTTCTTTTAAACAACCAGACATCCAAATGTCAACGGATAAGCTTGGCCTTTTTAACTCGGTATGGCCGAGTGATGCCTTCAACCTACCATGAGGTAATCAGACTTTGCATTCATGATAAGAAACTGTCTTTCATGACTTCGCAAGTGTGTCTGTGTGTGTGTGTGTGTCTGTGTGTGTGTGTCTGTGTGTGTGTGTGTCTGTGTGTCTGTGTGCCTGTGTGTCTGTGTGTCTGTGTGCGTGTGTCTGTGTGCGTGTGTGTGTGTGCGTGTGTGTCTGTGTGCGTGTGTGTCTGTGTGCGTGTGTGTCTGTGTGCGTTGTGTGTGTCTGTGTGCGTTGTGTGTGTCTGTGTGCGTTGTGTGTGTCTGTGTGCGTCTGTCTGTCTGTGTGCGTCTGTCTGTCTGTGTGCGTCTGTCTGTCTGTGTGCGTCTGTCTGTCTGTGTGCGTCTGTCTGTCTGTGTGCGTCTGTCTGTCTGTGTGCGTCTGTCTGTCTGTGTGCGTCTGTCTGTCTGTCTGTCTGTGTGCGTCTGTCTGTCTGTGTGCGTCTGTCTGTCTTTCTGGCTGGCTGGCTGTCTGGCTGTCTGGCTGTCTGGCTGTCTGGCTGTCTGGCTGTCTGGCTGTCTGGCTGTCTGGCTGTCTGGCTGGCTGTCTGGCTGTCTGTCTGTCATGCTGCAATGCATGCATGCATGCATGCATGCACACACACACACACATGTGCATGCATGCATGTGTGTGTGTATATATGTATATGCTTATGGCGGCATGGCATGGCATGGCATGGCATGGTGTATATATATATGGTATGTATTGTATGTGTGTTATGTATGTTATCCATGGTTATCTATGTTTATCTATGTCATGTATGTTATGTATATCATGTATGCTATGTAAGTTATGTATGTTATGTATGTTGTGTATGTTATGCAATGTTATGTATGTTATGTATATTATGTATGTTTTGTATGTTATGTGTATGTTATGTAATGTTGTGTATGTTATGTAATGTTATGAATGTTGTGAATGTTATGTATGTTATGTAATGTCGTGTGTGTTATGTGTTATGCAATGTTATGCATGTTATGTATGATACGTATTGTTCTGCTATGTTGTGTTGTGTTATGTTGTTATGTTATGTTATGCTATGCTATGTAACAATTTATGTAACAATGTGTGTTATGCTATGTTATGTTGTGTAAATATCTTAAATAAATAAATAGAGTTATTTATATATATATATAAGCACCTGAGCCTCCTTCGGTTTGACTATCTCAGTACCAATGCCTCGCCTGCTGGGAGCGCGTTCCTGCGAGCTGTTTGGAGCACTGACCTCATTGAAGCTCATAAAATCATGAGACTGGCTCATTAGAGAATTGAACTTGACATGTAATATATATATATAATGCAAGTATTTGTGCACCATGCACTCTCCAAAGATGGGCGAACAAGAACGTGTTACAATTGTCAGCTTACAGCAGAACCCCAGGAGAACGAAGTGCACACAAGCGCACGTTAGTGCACTAAACTACGCTAGAACCATGAGAATACCATGAGTACAGATTGAGTGCATTGACCAAACATGACCAAACATGATGAGTTTCCAACTCATCCAAAGACATATTTTCTCTCTATCGCGATGCATCAAGCCATTTTTCAGCTGAAGAGCTGTGCTGCTCGTGCTTGCAGTTGACAAATTGCGGACCGCAGCGCGAACCTTCACCGGAACCTCGGTGGAAAAAACTGCATGATAAATGTATATAAATGTAATATCAGTAATTTTATTCTCTTAATTTAGTAATACGATGTGATAAGTTTATAATATAATAAGCATTGATTCGAGTTATAATATGTTACAAGTAGCTACATCATTGTACTTACAATCATGCTTAAACATGCTTAATCATGAAAGCTACATGCTGCATCGCTGTCCATACTTTTTCATTCCAAAACATTGCATATCAGCACATCAGGGAGACTTTCATTTCGGCACAATCAATACTGGAGAAGGGCCCTTCTTTCCTATGTGTGTCCGGACATGGCGGGACTATAACTAATTACCAGTAATAACCAACCTGAAAGGGTTGCATAAAACTGAGAATGCATGTCACCAGCATACCATCATTTGGAACATTCAATTGTCCCAGGAGCAAACTTGACCAAAGCATGAAAGGACCGGGATCAAGCATGATCAAGCATACCAAGCAAGAAGCAGCCCAATGTCAACAGATCTTGATACCGACACAGCAAGGTCATGCGCTGACGTGTTCGCCGGGCTTTTTTGCTTCTGCTGTGAATGTCTGTTTCTACCATTTTGATCCACTTTGTACCAGTGTTTTCTGGACCTGTAGTGCTGTAGAGAGTTCAAACAAAACCATAATATGGAATTGCACTCGCCATAAGATCATTTGCGAAGCAATCAGCAACTACAAATATTGAGGTAGGCGCAAAATTGTCAAACATGTCAAACATTGCAATGCTCTTTAGAAATTGTACCAAAGAATTACCAAAAGGAATGCTACCAAGATGCTGTGAAGGACTGCCTTGCTGGCGCTGATTGGCGAGGTGTGCGAGGCGATGACCACGCAACAGGCACTGCCAGCGATTGACCGAAGGAGTATCGTGTTGGGACGTGCTGAAAGCCATGAATCCCCTGAGTTGAAAAAAGTGAAAACGCAACTCAAAAATGATTCAAACATATTCAAACAGTTCCAGTGCCTCGCACCTCTCTCATGACTGCGATTATGGCCTATTATATCTTGTTTATGCATCTACAATCATGATTCATGATCATGATTCATGATCATGATCAATCATGTGCATTTTATACATGCAAATAACATCAAACAACCAAATCTGTGACATTTGACGGCAAGGCACAGTCCCACCAAGGCTTGATGACGTTGAGGGGGTGGTTGGAGTTGCTGGACTCTTCGGGGTCAATACAACACTTCTTGGACTCAGCCCAGAGAGCGCCAAATGAGAAGGGACCTGAGAAAACAAAATCAAGTCACTTAAGTCGCGAGAATGGCAGGCACAAAGTTCGGCACGATGACAATGGACATCCCAAAAAGGATCAAAAAGGATGTTAAATGTTTATCATTTTTTTCATTGCAATTGGTGTACATGCATGCAACTATGTATGTCTGAGCTTCTGACATGCCGCAAGTGATGCAAAGGCGGAGGAGACAGCGACACACCAGAATAGTTGCGCGTAGGAGCCATGGCGCCGGCTTTTTTCCCACAATCGGCAGTCAATTTCAACTTGTCCGCTGCAAGCTGTGTCAATAATATACCAGTTGCGTTTCAATCACAAGTCAGTTGCATTCAATTGTTGTCTGCCAATTTTGGATTCAAATGATTCTTTGATGATCCACTTGTGGAAGCGCAATGGTTGCTCAGCCTCATCATTTGATTGGATAGCGTGTGGATGCATAGAAGCAAGTGTGCTTTCAACATCTTTCAACCGTGTAACAGTATAAGACTTCATGAGACTTTAATCAAGTCACAGCAGTTGGAACATGTCTGAATCCCTCAGGGCGTTCCAAAGGAAGCGCTGGTAGGTGATATTAGTATGGCGCCCCTCTTTTGCCACCTCTTGCAGCAAGGAATCGATTCCAACCAATTGCTGGAATCATGTCCCGCCCACGATTGAAAGAGTCTCAGGGCAGGACTTTTGCTGTGCGGCACTCTCTGCTTGAAGTGCCAAAAACAACAATAAGCGCATTGCAACAAACCCCGAAGGCAGAACAAGGATAGCAAATAGCAAACACTCAAATCTGAGAGCATCAGGAACGGAAGTGCCGATTGTTTTCGAATTGTCCAAATCACGATATTGTAGGCAGAAACACGCACACACACACACACATAGAACACACGTGAGTTTCCTTGTCGCTTTGCGCATTTGCTGGCTTGAAATTGACTTTGCACATGAGGCTCACAGTTTGCTGGCAGGGGATGTATTGCGGAGCAGCATCCTGCAGCTGCATCAATTATCTGAAACGCACAATACTGTCTACACCACGTTATTTTTCATTATTTGTCTACTACTACTACTATTACTACTACTACTACACACATATATATATATAAATAATTATATATATATATATAAATAATTATATAAATATAAATATATATATTTGATTATATTTGTATATTTACATTAAAGGATCTTATGCTAGGTTACTAATGCTTACCATCTTACAATACATTCTGCACCTGACAGTCTCTCGGGGCACATAGATAGCCACTGAGGGCTCATAACGAGCTTTTGAGGGAACAAGTGCCCCTGATACTGACACCATTTCTCTTGTTTGACACATGCTGCAGGATCTGCAGGATGACACCCAGGACAAACCCAGCCAAACCCTGAAAAATTGAGAATTTCATCTGGTTCGGTTGGATTCATTTCTTGCCCTTGTGTTCTCTTGGTATTCTCTTGGTCTCTCTCTCTCTCTCTCTTTCTCTCGTTTTCTTTTGTATTTCTATGTGCGAATCATTGCGAATCTCCAAAGATCGCCAAGATTTGGGGAAGCGAAACTTGGCCAAGTCTCGCAGCACTAGTTCGATCATCTCCACCCATATTGACTGCTAAACCCAGTTGAGGCGTTCGAGGCATCCTAGGCGAAGTGCAGGAGAATAGGATAGAATAGGACAGTACAAACATCTTCAAGAGTGAATGAGAGAACCAAAAAGAAACATGATCACCGTGCACAATCTTGAAGCGTCAATGGGCCCGGGATTAAATCGATCCAAGCTTCTGGTAGTCACCACACAGGCTCTTCATCTGCCGGTACACCTCAAGCACCTGCCTGAAGTGAAGACAATGACGAACGTCAAGAATACACACTCCCACTCGGCTCTCACACTCGGACTGAGTCACCTTGCATTGCGAATAGGTACTCACAAACACCCTCTTTCCATGATTGCACTAATAAGCAATAATGATAGGTGAACGCTGCAAAGCATTGCAAGACTTGCATAGCAGTGCAAAGAGATAAAGAATATTGAAAATGTGGGCGCAGTTCGTTCGCCACAAACACTACCAGGGCAGGACCCTGGCCCTAGCGTACGGCAAAACTGCAGCAAAGTGCCAGTGTGAACGCTCCTATGTCTGTTGCAACAGCAAAATCGCGACCATTGCACATTGCAAGAGTCCTATGAGTGATTATGCAGTGATAATGACCCACCAAGTATCCACTACATCCACTACAATGTGTTGCGATTTGCCGTACTCCCTGATTGCGTTGTTTTGCAACTCGCAAACGCGGACAGCAACCCCCTTGGGTTTGGTGAAACTGCTTGCATGCTTCTTCTTACAAACGTCTTTCGACTGTTTCGATGTGTGAGCTGTTCTGGGAGGTAAAATGCAACCCCCACCAGCTATTATCCGCAAGAATGCCTGTAGCCATTTTCTGTGCATTACATGCGTTTTGCACCATTTCTATGGTTTATCGGGTACTAGTATCTTTTGTTTTTGCTGATCTTCTGGAGCTTGCTTTGTGGGCTACGTCTGAGAGTTGCGAAGTGTCTGCATCCTTTGGCCCTTTGCTCTTTTTCCAACAGCACCACATCCATAGACCTCTCTGAAATACATTGCAAACTTGCATCACTTGGAATTTGGAATCCATGCCTTGCATTGCAAGTGCAACCCCCTGACGAACATCACCTTCATGCAAATGTGGCAGTACGCTCCTACTTGATGAGAGACTTTCTAGCCAGTGACCCTGCTTGCTCCTATTTGCTATTAACCACGGTTCTCTGGCAGGTCGCAGAATCGATCCGCAATCCACATTGAGCGCTTGGCACCGGCTAGGTGCATGGCAATGCTCTTGAAATACGGGACTCTAAAATGTACATACAATATCATACGAGTACAATGTTGCTTCCTTCCGGAGAAAATGACCATGATTATGAAGTACATATCCTGCATAGTCTTAGTTGTCTGATCCAAAACATTGATCAGAAAACACATACCAAACAAGTCCAAGAACCTTCATACTTGAGACAACAACCAAGGGAGGACAATTCTGCGGTCAAGAGGTGTTTGAAGCAACAGGGGCCAGGGAATCTGCATAGTAGCCCGCAGCGCGCAAGCCTTTGTAGGAAGAATGTTTGCCCCAAAGCTGTGTTTTCTGCAGTTGCGAGGTCATCCAATTCCAGGATATCTCAACATATCTCATATTGAACCCATGTCGGGCCTTGTGGAGATGATTTTCATTTTGTTTTGACAATATGTTGTGCCATGGGGGTGCCCATGTTGCTTTCAAATGAGGTTTTGGTCGCCCAAATGGCTAGATGCTGACTACTTTCTGGGCTCCTTTGGCGCCTCCTTCGCCGAAATGCGCCGATTTTGTTATGTTGCAATATTCTCCAATGTGAACAGGCAGGATCACACATCATGAGACATCACCAAACATCTAATCTAAGTTTATGGGGCCTGTAACCTTTTTTTTAAGCCCAATGCTAATACGGTGCAACAAAGCCTCGACAGGGGGGCAGAACCTTCTGCAATGACACAATCCATATACAGGATTAGAATGGATTAGATGGATGAATGTTCTGGAATGATCCCTCCTTTGTAGGGCCAACATAGTTCTAACATAGGCTTTGGGTAAGGGCCTTATGTCAATCTTGTAAATCATGTGTTTTTTCTTTCTTTTTGAGTGTCTCTTGGAGGCGTAGCTATTGCTTTAGACAGCTTGACTTGCAACTGTGAAAAAACAGCTACCAAAAAACCTAAATTGAGCCTATTTCCAAATTCAATCAAGGACCTCTTCCCGGCTAAAGTTTTAGTGCTTGCTCTGTCCAAACTAAATGCCGGGTGCACGCGGGCTTGTCTTGCCACAGCTGTTGTGGAGTGGTGAATTTTGTACGACTGGGAAATGCCCTGGAGAGCATTACTCACTACTGTAAGTCCTTTGAGGGTTCCAAGCGAGGACAGCTTCCTTTTAAAAACTATTGGAAAGGCATTCGGCTGCATGCTGTCAGTATCTTCCACACTCCACACTTTCACCTTCTTTCACCCATGTGCAACCCGGTCACTTCACCCCGGTTGCTCCCACCGGGTGGCCGAAGGAGATCAAGCCACCTCCTGAAAATCAGCAAGCACAAAAGAAAAAACAGTTCACCCAAAACACAGAATGTTCACACATTATTTTTATTTCTTCTGTGTTTCTTGGAGGAACGCCTGTGCGTCTCATTTGTACTGTGCTTCATCTGCCAATTCTCTGTCACTATGATGTGTCTGCTCAATGGTCACATACCATCTCGTCAAAGCACACCACTGCGAATTGCTGATGCAGAACTCCCGCCACCTTAAGGAACAAAGTCTTGAAATACATGAAGCCAGATGAAACCAACATTTGCTTGCACATTCTCCTGTGTTGACTGGGATCCTTCCTTCCAGGGAGATTGCGCCCGATTTCACAAGCTCGGTGCCTGAATGCCGACCGCACAAAAACACACTAGCAGTCACTAATCACTAACACCATCTAAAACCTGCAATGTTAAATGTTAAAACGCAGTTTCAGAGAGGCGGCAATGCATTATCAATCATTATCTGTCATCGAGTCCTCTCTCTCTCTCTCTCTGACCATGCATGGCTACACGGTGACCCTGTGCCTCCCCGGTCCCCTGATCATGATCTCTCTGGTTCCATCTGATTCCCACTTCTCCAGTTCCATTGTCCTAGCCTTTCCCGGGCTCGGCAAGACCTATAGCCTCATACATGAGGATCTCCGCGATTGCCTTGGAGTTTCAACTCGGCCAAAACAATTCGTAAATTCAATGGTCCATTTAACTGAAATCAGGGTCCTGTGCACTGTGCCATATCTCTCTACGTGGCCAATTAAGGCTATATCTTCTTGTTCCATACCCTCAACTACGAGCCAGGGACCCTGGACACAGCATTATAGAACCTTTTGGGGTATCTGAAATCATATTCTTTTAGAAAACCACCACTTAGATATCAGAACTTTGCACCTCCTGAAACAAGTGGTACGTTAGGGGGTCTGAGATCAAATCTTGACCTAGCAACAGGGGTTCTGAGATCATGTCTTAACCTAGCAATAGAATGAAGATATGGTCTAAGACCCCAAGCTATGTGTATGAGACCTGCAAGGGCCATGTGAGTGCTTTGGTTTGAAATGGTTTGAAGTTGGGAACTTCCAACACTCAAAAAAAAATATTTTTTAAAAAATAATCTTCTTGACCCAAGAGGTTCTGAGATGTTTTTTTCTCTATGTAGTGTTGGCTGATCTTTGAGGACATGTGGGAAGATATGATCTGAGACCCCAAACTATGTGTATAAGACCTGGCCATGAGAGTGCTTTGGTTTGAAAGGGTTTGAAGTTGGGAACTTCCAACACTCAAAAAAATATATATTAAAAAAATAATGATCTTCTTGACCCAAGAGGTTCTGAGATGTTTTTTCTCTATGTAGTGTTGGCTGATCTTTGAGGACATGTGGGAAGATATGATCTGAGACCCCAAGCTATGTGTATGAGACCTGCAAGGGCCATGAGAGTGCTTTGGTTTGAAAGGGTTTGAAGTTGGGAACTTCCAACACTCAAAAAAGGATATTTAAAAAAAATATATATAATCTTCTTGACCCAAGAGGTTCTGAAATGTTTGTTCTCTATGTAGTGTTGGCTGATCTTTGAGCACATGTGGGAAGATATGATCTGAGACCACAAGCTATGTGTATAAGACCTGCCAGGGCCATGTGAGTACTTTGGTTTGAAAGGGTGTGAAGTTGGGAACTTCCAACACGCAAAAAAAATATATTTTTTAAAACAAAACTTGACCCAAGAGGTTTTTAGATTATTTTCTCTATGTAGTGCTGGCTGATCTTTCAGGACATGTGGGAAGATACGATCTAAGACCCCAAGCTATGTGTATGAGACCTGCAAGGGCCATGAGAGTGCTTTGGTTTGAAAGGGTTTGAAGTTGGGAACTTCCAACACTCAAAAAAGGATATTTAAAAAAAAATAATAATATAATCTTCTTGACCCAAGAGGTTCTGAGATGTTTTTTCTCTATGTAGTGTTGGCTGATCTTTGAGCACACGTGGGAAGATATGATCTGAGACCCCAAGCTATGTGTATAAGACCTGCCAGGGCCATGTGAGTACTTTGGTTTGCTTTGGTTTGAAGTTGGGAATTTCCAACACTCAAAAAAAAAAATATCCTTGACCCAAGAGGTTCTGAGATGTTTTGTCTCTATGTAGTGTTGGCTGATCTTTGAGGACATGAAGGAAGATATGATCTAAGACCCCAAGCTATGTGTATGAGACTTGCAAGGGCCATGTGGGTGCTTTGGTTTGAAAGGGTTTGAAGTTGGGAACTTCCAACACTCAAAAAAAAATATATTACAAAAAATAATAATCTTCTTGAGCCAAGAGGTTCTGAAATGTTTGTTCTCTATGTAGTGTTGGCTGATCTTTGAGGACATGTGGGAAGATATGATCTGAGACCCCAAGCTATGTGTATGAGACCTGGAAAGGCCATGAGAGTGCTTTGGTTTGAAAGGGTTTGAAGTTGGGAACTTCCAACACTCAAAAAAATATATATTTTTTTAAAAAATAATATTCTTGACCCAAGAGGTTCTGAGATGTTTTTTCTCTATGTAGTGTTGGCTGATCTTTGAGGACATGTGGGAAGATATGATCTGAGACCCCAAGCTATGTGTATGAGACCTGCAAGGGCCATGAGAGTGCTTTGGTTTGAAAGGGTTTGAAGTTGGGAACTTCCAACACTCAAAAATATATATATATTTTTAAAAAAATAATATTCTTGACCCAAGAGGTTCTGAGATGTTTTTTCTCTATGTAGTGTTGGCTGATCTTTGAGGACATGTGGGAAGATGTCAAAAGTTGGCTTTGAATAAGGTATATATATATATATATTAAATCTATCTATCTATCTATCTATCTATCTATCTATATATATATATATGTGACAACATATAGGGTTCTAAAATCATAAGGGGTAAAGTTCTACAATCATCCCAGGGGATGATTTTAGAACCTTGTGGTCGACCCCTCCAGGGGTACCCATTCTAGGTAGCTCGTACTTGAGGGTATCTTGTTCCCACATTGAGAAGTGCTGTGCAGTAGCTTGGCTTCAGTCAGGACACGAAGCAATCATGTACTTCTGCAACATCTAGGTCGCCAGGTCTCACCCCAGCTGTTGCCAACATTCGGGAGACAACCTTGGAGGCATCAAACAAACATAACCAAATCCAAAACTGGCTGCATGCATCCAAACGCATATCCTATCAACACGGAGACTGACACCGAAGACTATATCATATAATGTGAATACCTAAATGCATGTATAAATGAACAAATAAAAACATAGTTATAAACAAATATAGATACATGCAATGCACACACACACAACACATACACATACACAGACACGTGCACGCACACACCCGCCTCTCTACATTTGTAAATATATATAAACCATGATATGCACATATCAAATGTCATTTGTACATTTGCACATGCATCCACAAGTGGATAAAGAAATGCACGCGTACGCACGTGCATACATACATACATACATGCATGCATGCGCGCACACACACACATGTATATATGTGTGCACACGCACGCACACACACACACATATATACATATACAAATACACTTGTAGAATATATTATCGAAGGGAGTTTAGAAGCCAAACTTCCGACAATATGGACAAATCGAAAAGCAGAGGTGGGAAGAGTCAGAGAAGAGAAGAGAAGAAAAAAGAAGATCAGAGAAGAGAAGAGAAGAAGAGAGACGATCAGAGAAGAGAAAGAGTCAGAAGAAAGAAGATGCAGGTGCGCGAAAAGGTAGAAAAGTCGTGATTCACTGTATTTTTCAGATGATTTGGGGCTCCGGAGGGTCGAGAAGTAGCCTCGCTAAAGCGGCCGGTGCGGAGCCATCTGGCCAGATGAGAGATGAAAAATTGCACGCCGTTGTGGCGCGAAGCACATTTCGAAGTCAAAAAGTGCAAAGCACACCATTCTCATTCTCGGAGCACTTTTTGGAAGTTGCCATGTCGAAAAAGTGCATGCCGTTCTGGCGCGAAGCACATGTCGCAGTCAAAATATACAAAGCACTTAGTTTCGGACAGCGTTTGGAAGTTGACATGTCGAAAAAGTGCACGCTGTCGTGGCGCGAAGCACCGCATTTCCACTTCAAAATGTTAAAAACACACTCGGACCACTTTTGAAGGTTCAGATGTGGTTTTGCGTGGCAGGCGCAAGGGATTCTGCACCTTGCCAAAAGTGAGCAAAACGTGAGAGCTTTGTAGCATTTCCAGAAACGGTGGCAGGCCTGGGGCATTTGAAGGGGATCTGGAAAAATGAATTTCGTATGGCAGGCGCAGTACAAGAGACACGTTCGGCAGAGATGTTAGGAGGTTAGGGCGCTGATTTCCTGAGATGGGGTGCATTTGGGATTGTCAACCACTTTTTCGTGGCAGGCGCAGCACTTTTCACAGATGGAGTGGAAAAATCGTAAAACGCATTGGTACGGGGCCGTCAGCTCTGCACTCAACTTTCCAATATTGAATGAAGTCTCGCAGAATTGCTTCGTTTTTGATGTTGTCAACTTGGAAAATTGAGGACGTCTCGCAGAATTGCTTTGTTTTTGACGTTGTCAAGTTCAAAAATTGAGGAAGTCTCGCAGAATTGCTTCGTTTTCAAGCTTGCAGATAGAGAGATAGATAGATAGACAAAAAATGGCCAGATTCGGCTAGATAGACAGACAGACAGATAGAGAGATAAACAGGTAGACAGATAGATAGACAGCTCCAACTGCACTTCGCCACACTACAACTACAACTTCAACTGCAACGACGACTACAACTACACTACCACTACAGCTGAAACTTCAACTACACTTCATCTACAAGAACTACAGCTACAACCCAGCTACAACTTCAAGTACACTTCAACTACAACTACAACTTCAATAACGCAAGACCGGTCCATCAGTGGGATTCGCTCGGCCATCCATGCATCACAACAACTCACCTCTCCTATGGTTTCATATCTTTGAAACTTCATCACAACAACTCACCTCTCCTATAGTTTCATATCTTTGAAACTTCCGCCACCGCCTTGCGCGGTACTACTGCTGATAAAGACATGAGCCTGCATATGAACGTGTAACGGCGCAACACATGACCCACATTAAACATGTCAAACATATTTGAAATTGACAGGAGGGCAGTGGTCATGCAAGAGAGACATACAGTATTCCGGCGGCTTCGCGTGCAATAGCCAGAACATCTTTTGGTGCAACAGCCTGAAAACCCAAGTGAACCAAGGGGCCAAGGGCAGTCATGAGTCATGGGAATCATGGGTGTTGCGGCGCACACAGGGGAAAATTACGCCAGCATAGACCCCACATGGCAAAAGATATATATGTTTGGTGGCAGCCAAGCGCCCGCCTTTTTTGCCACGGCATAAACGTAATCTCAATCAGGACACAACGCCCACACTGCCATAAACATCTCGCGCCTCCTGCAGCGACACCAGCACCCAAGCTTCATAGCGCACGCCGCTCTGACAGCAGTGCCCTGTAGCAGCAACCAAGTTCCTAAGATGCACAATAGTACCCTGCACCCGCACCCTGCAGTGGCACCAGCATCTAACAGCAGCACCCCGAAGCAGCACTTTGCAGCGGCACCCTGCAGCGGCACCACCCAGCGCACACGCCACTCTAATAGCAGCACCTTGAGCCTGCAGCGGCACCAACATGCCCGCTCCAAGATGCACATATCCAACCCATCCTATACTTGAAGTAAGAACCCCAATAGCTTCGCTATCCGGGGAAAAAACACTAAAAAAACATATCAAACATGTTGCCACTCTCTTGCCACTGCATCACGCGCAACGAGCACGTCAACCCCGGATTAATAAACTCTGTTGATTGATTAGGGGGGCCCGCAAAATAGCGTTGAACTATGTGGAACTCCTATTGGTACCCCCAATTGGTTTATTGATCTTGGGTTTGCGTTGCCTTGGAACAAGGATCTCCAATAACGGCTACCAAAACTTTGACCTGGCAGTGTTGCCAACACTTTTGGGTCGTCACCGTCCCGAAGGACTGCTCCAGTAAAGCTTTCCTGCACATCATCTCTAACCCGAATATATTCAAATAATTTCAAACATATTCAATTTTCAAATCCCTGCCATATGAAGACAAACTGCGGTCTTTGTTGTGTCCATCACCGTCAGGTCCAGTGGGTCAGACCACAAATCGCCTTGGTCGAACATGAAAGGAACCAACTTCTGATTCTACC